GCGTACCCGCCCTGACGAGCAGCTTTAACGGCTGCCGCTGCTGCTGCTGCTGCTGCTGGTATTCTCCAAAGGCAGTGAGGAGCGTGGGGCCCTCCAGAGTTTGCTGCTTCTGCTGCAGCGCCTCCTTGGTGGCTTTAAGTGCTGCTTTCAAGGCCCAGGAAGCCTTTATTTGCTTCCTAGTTTTCTGTTTTGCTGCTTCTGCTGCTGCTAGGCCCTGCAGCAGCGAAGCTGTTTGCTGCTGTGTTGCTTCGCCTTCTTTGCGCAGAAAGCCGCGGGCCCTGGCGAGGTCTGAGCCCTTTGTTGCTACTCCTGCTGCTGCTGCTGCTGCTGCAGGTGCTGCTGCTGCTGCTGCTGTTGCTGCTGTTGCTGCTGCTGTTGCTGCTGCTCCGGACTTCTTCTTTGGCAGCTGCGCCGGGGCTGCTGCAGCCTCCCCTCTTCCCTTTGCTGTTGAGCTGGCTCGCGGGCGCGCAGCAGCAGCAGCAGCAGCAGCAGCAGACGAAACAGCGGGAGTAGCAGCAGCAGCAGCAGCAGCAGGAAGCATCATAGACGTGTCTCTCCAGGAACCCTCCCCCGCTGTTCGCCAAGGGAGGCCCCCTATGGGGGCCCCCCTGGGGGGCCCCTTGGGGGCCCCTGGGGGCCCCCAAGGGGGCCCCTCCTCAGGGGCCCCCGGGGAGGGGTCCCTATTAATAGCTGACCGATAAGTTTGCTGCCCCCAGGGGCTTCCGCAGCCAGGGCTGTGTGTGGGGAGCAGCAGCGGGGGCAGCAGCAGCCCTGCTGCAGCAGCAGTTGCAGCAGCAGCAGCTGTGTCTTCAGGGGAATTTGCTGCTGTTAGCGCTTTTGCTGCTGCTTCTGCTGCTGCTGCTGCTGATGCCGCTACTGTTGCTGCTGTCGCTGCCGGTCCCACTGCTGCTGCTGCTGCTGCTGCTGTTTCTGCTGCTGCCGGTCCTGCTGCTGCTTTTGGTTTTGCAGCAACAGCAGCAGCAGCCTGCCTTTCCACAGCAGAAGCAGCAGCAGCAAGAGCAGCAGCAGACTCAGGAAAAGCAGCCTTCGAGTCAGCACGTATCCCTCGAATGCCGCTGCAGCTGCTGCTGCTGCTGCTGCTGCTGCGCGAAAGCCGCCTTGATGGCAGCGCCTTGAGCTGCAGCAACGAGGGTACACCCACTAGACTCAAGT